TAGGGTTTAGGGTTTTAGGGATACATAGGGGGTTTAATAGCTTATACAAGTCATTTGGGTGTAGTTTGGGATTTATAGGGTGTACATAGGGTTTATACAGGGCTATATAAAGCTTATATATGGTTATGTTGGGGTTATTTGGAGCTGCATTGGGGTTACCTAGAATTCGTCTTCCAATAATGGAGAATCAAATGGACAAGAAAATGGAAGCTTTCTGGAAACCATCAATATATAGGGTGGGGACAAATGAAGGTGCCTTCCCCTTGACTAGCAGGGACTGAAGGAATGGAAAAGAAAGTGAAACTACAATACTATTGGGGATTATACATGGACTACTACAAGCATCCATATCTTCATTCCTTGCTAACCAGAGTCTAGGGTGAGGAGTGGGTGGGTGACGGACGTGGAACCTCCCAAAAGGGCTACCAAGAATACTGCTCTCAAAGGAGGATGCTAATTTGCTTCTGGGGCCTCATGTTAGATAAGCGGAAGGTAAACCCTATGCTGCATCCTGGATCCTATAGGCTTTAGCTTCGCTGCCCTGCCTGAAGTCGTTCAAGAACTCCTGAACGCTTCGCTCCTTCTCCTGCAGAGCAGATGCTAAGCCTGAACCCAATAAGTTGAAGGCCTTGCCAGTAAACTGCACCCCTGAACCCCAAGCGGCTAAGGCAACTGAAGAAGGAGCAAAGTCAACCGTAGGGCCTTCAGTACACAACTTCCTGTTCGGAATACAGGAGGGCAACAAGCACAGCTTGTGGTTAACGGAAATCTACCACGATAGACCAGTGGCCACATGCTTCACAGACAGCTGGTCCGGATTCGCAAAAAATACAAAGTTGTGGGATGCATGCGCTTTCTGAGCACTTGGACCCTGGGGATAGACTACTGTGAAACTCCGCATACGTCGAAAGGAATTCCCCCTTCCCCTTGAGTCACCCTCCAATCATTGATAGGTCACACATGAATACCGATCACGAGGGGTGGGAGGGGTTCATTGTCTGTTCGGTCTGTTTGGTGATGTGATATGTCAACTTGGCGACATGCAACGTCTAAGAAAGAGTTTTTTTTCGGATTCGAATTTAGGATGACGTGTTTGTGCTTTCGGGGCTGAGAGTCAAAGCTGCTTCTCTTCTGTTTCTTGTGCCCTGCACGTCTGACCTAAAAACTCAATCCTAATTCTGAGATACTTGGAAATGCCATCCCCCTTCAAAACGACAGTGGCGTTGTGGAACCACTTTTTTTTGACCAACTTTGGGGGGGAGGGTGGCAAATCTTCATGAATCCGTGCATAGCCCGGCTTGGAACATCCTCGTATCCCAAGACCCAAGAGCAATCCGCACTCCTGTAGGCCCACCTGGGGCAAGTCGTTTCTGGGGTAAAGGGGTTACGGTTGCGGGCTTCGGGTTTCGGATTTAGGCGTAGGGCTTATACAGGGCTACGTAGAGTCGAAACACCTCGGCCTTACGGTTTGTGAGTTTGTGGAAGAAAAGGATCCTCTTCATTGCCTGTCCTTCAGACCACTAGGTATTCATTTCAGGCAACAGATGAGCTGCATCTCAAGCAGGGTACTTCCTGAAGTGCAAGCCCTCAATGCTAATCCCCAAGAATCACATGAGGCCGGGACGAGCCTCAACCCCAAACCCTAAAGCTTAGGACTTAGTCAGAAGGCTTTAAGGCTGGGGGCCTAGGGTTTCTGAACAGCACAAATTATCCTCGGCATGCCCCGACGGCACTTAACCAAGATCGAGCCGCGAGGTCCTCTCTCCATGCTACAAGAACACGGAAAATGTCGAGATTGCGAGTATTCTCTGACAGCTCCGTCAGCCTTTGAAATTGATTGGGGAGTAGGGTTGGGGTTCAGGAGTTACTTGGAGGTTCACAGGACTTGGTGGGAGATTCCTGGCTTAAATTTTGGATTTCGCAAGGTAGGATAGACCTTGAACTCAAGGTATTCATGGGGATTTTGGGAGGCTCCCTTCGGGGATTAAGTAAGTGCAGGTTGAATGTCACTCAAGATTTCGGGTGGGCACGCGGTATCCCTGCTTCAAAAGTAGCCAGCCAGGTAAACTCACTGCTATACCTTACGTCAACACTGAACAGTACCATGTCCGCCTCTGAGTACGAAGTACTCATGTAACCCCGCTAGGAAAGTGCTTCGGATTTGCCGCCTGGGCATCAGTAGAATACAGATCTCTCTCCCTTCATGGGTCAAGGGCTATTTCGTTCAGGATTTGGGGTTCGTTCGGTGGTCTTGTCCACTGATACTTCGGACGAGAATTGACATGCACACACACACACACAGAGTAAGTATTTAGCTAGCATCATCATACAACCAAAGCTGATGCTAGCAACCAAGTCTCTAAATAAGGCTCTGCTTCAAGTCTCTGAGTATCGGTTCATGAGCTCGGAACCCAATCCCTACCCCTCAGAGCCAAGCCCTGAACCATTTACCTCCATGGAGGCTTGTCCCCGAACCCTTTTAGACCTGTGTTCGGTCTAGTTGGTGATTGCTGTTAGTTTTGAACCCTTAGGCCTCGAACCCTATACGTCCCTGCAAACCGATGTCTGCGTCATGTTGCATCTGAATTTCCCTTTGATGCTCCAGCATTCGAAGCCCAACTCTATAAACCCTAAAACCCACAACCCTAAACCGTTAAGTGAGCTCTACCTAACCTTGAATATCCTTTTTACCCCTGATTATCCCTACAGAGCCTCCATGAGTCCCTTTCGAGATCCCTAACTCCCCCGGTACCCCAAACACGCAATGCTTCGCGAGTTGCTTGAGATCCAGCGCTGCTCGGCACACCTGGCCGACAGCCTCCCGATCAGCCTCCACACTGAACCTGATTTTTTCAAGGGGGTTTAAGGACTTTGGAAATTGGGAGTTCGAGGGTTGGGAAGGGATTTAGGAGGCAAGGAGAGGTTTAAGGATTTAGGGTTCTGGCTATTAGTTCTTAGAGTTTACGTCTTGTGGGGTTTCCATACATATTCTGTTCGAGTAGACTCATGGTTTTGCACTGTCTTCTAATTTTCAATATGAGCCTGTATATCTTTTGCAGGCTTCTGATGTCAAACAGGTCTAGCCGGTAAAGGCATTGTGCAGGAATTTCCATGTCTGCTGTTTGGGCTTTGGTGGTCTTGGGTGCTGGATTCAGGGAGCTTCAGGGAGATCCGGTTTCAAGGCTTGTGGCTTCGAAAGAGCTGAAGCTGGAATTGTTACGCTGATGGTATCTCCTCCCCTTCACGGCCCGATCATTCCGGCATCTTCTACTTTTCTGCCCTGGCGCTCTCCCTCGTGAGCCAGGCAGTGCCTCCAGGTCTCCATTGCGCCGAACCTGTGCATGTGCCAGAGATTGGCAGGATTTGCTGATTTTTTGTTCAGCGTTGTTTTTTTGTTGAGGGCTCAGGGTGTGGCGCGTAGTGATTGGGGCTCACGGTTCAGGAGTCAGGGCTTATGATTTTGTTCTTAAG